TGATAGAGTTTGACAAAACAACAATGAACCAGTTTCACATCAAACAAAAAAAAGAGAGTAGCATAATTTGGTTCATGTTTATTTGAGAAACAAATTCTACAAAATGCAAGGTGGAAATTTTTTTCCCCAAAAAGAAGCAAGCAAGATTTATTTGAAGTTGATATCCAAGGAGAATTAGTGAAGTTGAGTATTTGATTAAATGTTATGAACAAGCTAAGAGTGCCAAAAATATAATTTGTGAACAAGTAAAATATTCAATTTCACTTCACAAATGAAGTAAAATGTGATGGAATATGTTACATATTAGAACATCAATATAATATTTGGCTTATTTAATGCTTTAAATCTGGCTGTACAAAAGGATTGAGAGGAGATTTGAGCTCCACAAGAAACATTGAACAAATATTCAAGGGTAAAGTTTACATGACAAATGTGGAGGTTAATTTGATGGATGCTGTAATCTCAAAGATTTGTATACATCTTTCATAAATGGAAGTAAAATTTCATATACATAACATTTTGGATTTGTTGGTAGAGAAAGACTTTGCAGTGAATGTGATATCCAAATGACTTTTGTTATGTTGTTGGACAAAGTAATTTTTAGACTTTTTTGGATTAAATATTAGATCATCAAACAAAAATCATGATCCACTAGTAAATTAAAAAAGTTGATGTTGAATGTGATTGTAGTTTAATCCTTATCATATTTGTAAGCGTTCAAGAAAGCTAGCTATGATTTGTAATTGGAACGTCATTGATTGAGTATTATGACAATTTTTTATATATATGTACAAAATTTATCTTTTTATAGTGTTTAAAAAACCATCAAGTGAAAATTTTATTGGTTGGAGTAGTAGATACAATAACAAACTAAGATACATCAACAAAGCAATATTCAAAATCTGAGTGTACAAATGATGGAAATTTTCCAAAGTTTAACATGGACATGTCAACTTTTGATCTATAATATTTGTGGTGACTTTCATCAAAGTTTACTTTTTAGCTTTTTAATAACTCATTATGATTCTAGAAATAAAAAATTCATCTACATGTTTGCGCCCCAAGCACTCTCTCACATTCCAATCATCACTCATGTTCAACATTCATTGACATTCCAAGATGATTGCTAAACTCAAACTTTCATTGGTGAAATAAATTCTCACAATGAGGATCTTTTCTCTATCTTTCTATTTGTATTAGTTAAGAAATTATCATAATAACATATGATAATTATCATCTAATTTAATTTTATTGATATAAATATTGGTATATTCGATTAATTTTCATTACGTGACAATATGTCATTGATTAATATTATATTTAAAAAAATTTGTCTCTAAATTGAAATGACGACATGCCATTAAATATCACAAGATTTCTACAACTTTCATTTGTCACTAGATCAACTTTAAACTTGGTCTAATTAATGAAAATTATATTACTTAGTTAAACCAATAAAAACTAACATGTCAAATTTTTTCTTTCTTTGACATCTAAAATCTGATGTGAGACAAAAAAATTGAGATGAAAAATTTTTGTTTCATTTAAAGCAAACAACATAATCAGTTGAAAATCAGCAAATCCCTATCTATAATCCTAGTTTTATGTCTTTCTCTATAGCAACTATAACCCACCTTACATACTTAATGAATTCGTCATGTATTTTTATATACCTGAAGGCAAAAGAATTCATTTGCTTTGTGCGAGATGTTTGTAACGCGCAACCTACAAAAAGCAATCCGCGTGTTCCATATTAACATAATATTGTCAAATATGACAAAGGTCATTTTTTCTCCATGACATGTCTTCGAAGAATAAAGGAAGACAAGCTGGGTAATTATACATTGACTAAGGCTGAGGTGAACAAATCTCGTTTTTAAAATCAGTGCCTTCAATCTTTCGCCTAAATCCAAAAGATAGACAATCAGCATCTCCAGCTAGAGCTACGGTAGACTTCATAAAGTCATCCCTGTCGGAGCCAAAGACAACAGCAAAGCTGGTGACAAAACACAAATTTATTGATCCTCCCGGCTTGGAGAAAAAATAAATCCTAGACAAGAAGACTTGGTTCATTTTTACAACATTTAATGTCATATGAAAGTCTGTCGGCGCAGTTTAAGTCGCTGTCCCAGAAGGTTGTATTCCCTGGATGAATTAGCAGTTGAACTCGTGGAGATTGATTTCATTCCAAACCTGTATACATTAAAACAAAGTTTACTCTCCGTCACTTACCTCCTTCCCACCATAATCCCCACTCCACCAAAAAAAGAAAGCCAACAGAAACCAGCCTCCAACATATGAACACTCCGATGAGCACAATCTACATAATCGATCCTACATGGTTTACAATCAAACATGGTGGAATTACCACAGTTGTCTACTGCGGAAATAAGGACTATTTACAACTTGCTACATAACCTGACTAGTTATGCAGTTGTCTTGATTTACACAACAGTGAGGCCCGAAGGATATATGGTGCATTTGAAGGGCCCGGACACCAGCTAGGATGGTTGTAATTACTTTAGCTTCTAGTATAGTTTGCTCTAGTTTAAAGCGGGCTCTCTGTTAGAATTCTTTCTAAAACTTATTAAAGATGAATCATATGGTTTATGGAGCTTAAAGTCACCAAGACATGAAGAGTTTTTGGTAAGAGTTTTTTATTAAATTAAACTCAAATCAGGGTAGCGAGTTAACGAACCATCATATAATCTAACACACTTTAAAACTTTGTATTTCCTTCAGCCTAGTATTTTCATTGTGATTACTATGAATATTTGAGTTTGAAGTATAGGATGCATTAAATAAATGTAAAAGTCATTATTTCCTTCACCGTGGAACATATTGTACAGCAATATGCGTTTTAGAGACACAAATTTTCACACAAACCAGAAAACTACACATGATATGGAGGAGTCTTGGTGAACAACATGAATGCAGGATAAACACCAATGCTTTCAACCCCATGTCAAAGTCCTGCCAGATCTAGAACTGATGTGGACCATGAATGTGGGTCCTGCTGAAAGATCCTTGCATCGAAGCCATTGATCGATCGATCTGAGCCACGATCTGCACGGTACAGCCCCCTTGCCCTCTTGCATGCGCTTTCGGCACTTAAAACAAGACGAAATGGGACGAGAATCTGCTCTTGCCAGATGTTATACCGAGAGAGTTCTTGCCAGATGTTATACCGAGAACCCCTGAGGTGGATTTGATATGAGATTCTGAATCAGACTTTCATGACCAGAACAATAGACAATGACGTCCAACTGCGTAGGAGTCCTGATGTGGACATGCAGTTGACGTCAAGTTCACCAGCAGTGGTCCTTCCGGATTTGACTTCATACAATCGTTTCATGCTCGTCCTCATGCATCTCAAGATAACCTCCCGGTACTGGAAATGTCCGTAAAGCGCGGCCGTTTCGGTACAACAATACAACAATACAAGTTTGTAGTCCAAATGAGTAATCTGTCACATGACATAGATCCCAACCTCGATGCATCCATGAGAGTGTAGGGAACTTCGTATAGTCATGTCCTGGTCATCGAGGCTGCGATTCGTTGTGCGTTTTTCTCGTTTCTTCTGCCACCCAACCTACCAAACGAACTAGAAGAGCTGCAATGAGAAATACTATGCATGCAAAGGCGCCCAAATTCCCAGAAAAGTAAATAGATCGGGACCACAAGCCTTGCCAGGAGGAACCCAGAGAGAATAATATATACCGTGAAGCGAGCATGTGAAACTCTTCGAAGTGTTTCAACTCGCACTCACCTTTAGAAAAAAGGCTTACTACGTATATCGAAGAGCGAAAGCTATCGACATGGAGATGAAAATGGCTCAAAGTGTCGATTGATTGTGAAGCCCATGCGCAGATTCCAGAATATTCGCACGAGAGTATCTCAGTTCGTGCTCAAGTAACGTCATATGGGCAAGTGCAGTAAACCCAGACCTGATGGCCCTATGCAGAAGTATTCCTCCGTTGCTGTTCTCGTGGTGCATACCCCAGAAAAGCTTATACGTAACTTGAAGTATCCCTCAAGTGATCGCCCACGTATAATACTCGTCAATACTTGCCTTTGGCTCTTCCTAACAATAGCACACCCTTTCGATGAACACCTTAAAAGTGGAAATAAGACAAACAAAACTGTGATAAATCCTGGCCAGATTCACACGTCTGTGGTGCAATCAAGTGCTTGAAGCTAGACTTTTGGCTCTCCATTCTTTGAATCTTTACAATAGGAGCAACAGAAATTTCGGGAAAAGGCAATACGCTGTCTTATATTGTCGAAGAATTATCAGTTGTGCTCTAGTTTAGGAGACCATGAACGAATAAATATATAATTGGACGGGGACATTGAGTAAGTGGACTTTTTGAACGCCTACAAGTTAATCGAAATATAATAATTTATTGTAATATTTACAATAGATAATATAATACAATAATATATTAAATAAATTATTCTTATTATTAAACTGCGCTGCATAAGTTTAAGGGCGGCTTTGAGCTCCCGATGTCCGTAAATGAAAAGAGTCTCTGCTGACATAGCAATGAAGTAGAGAATGAATTACAGAGTCTTGTCTGCAGGTTCACGTGCTTATCAGACTGAACAAATCGATCTGCAGAGATATGTGCACAGACCAGACCAGACCGGACTGGACCAAGTACAGTAGACGTAGACTTACGCCACGATGGTGCGTCTGCTAGGCCACCACCATTACCCATGTGAACAATGAGCTTCAAAATAGGGGCTAAAGAGGGATCCGAGAAGCCGCGGTTTCTGAATCTGGTGACCAACTGGGAGTATATTCCAGGGAGTACAGTACCGGCATTGCAGCGCTGGTGTCCGGATGAGAAGATCGAGGCTTCTGACATTGCGAGGGCCCCGACGTCGTTCAGATCTAGGCCCAGACGAATCTTTCTTTTGAACAAGCGATCGCTGGTGATGGAGAAGTACACTTACACCAGCGCGTCGTTCGGACCAAGTGGCTGGGGTAGAGTTATCGGGTCCGGGAAGACTCCAAGAGAGAGTCTCGTCGGACCTCCAGAGGAAGGACTTTTTCCTTATGCGCTGGAGGAGCAAGGAGCAGAAGGTCGACTTGAGCCGGGTGAGAACTGTCAGGGACTCATGGACCCGTGGACTTCGACTACTCGTGGACTTCGACATTAGTCTTCTCTTGTTGGGACCGAGCTGCAGATTTGCCTTTGATGAATCTGGCGGGAGCAGCAGTACATTAACCTAAGACCCGTGTTGAGGGAACGACTTGACAGATTTTCCTGCACGACAAGAGTTGGAGCCCGCTTATATTGCGAGACGGTGTTTTCCGAATCGGGCATATTTCCTCGGGAGGTGTAGACTTTCACGGTCGACGGGTTTTTTTTAAATCATTTTGGGTTCGAAGTGTTCGAATATAGTGACAACCGTAGGACCCTGCAGAAGAGGAAAACATGGGGCTCCTATCGTTTGCCGTCAGTCCGGAGCTGAGACCAGCTTTCGATAGCATGACCTTTGGATACAAACTCTGCTTGCTGGTATGTACGGGCAGGGTTTTGTGGCACTCTTATGATTTTTCATATTCTTCTACATTGAAAGAATTAACGTTTGAGTTTTGGAATCCGGAACTCGTCAGCTTATCCAATTTGGATGTGATAAGCTCCGTTGGGTGGGCAGCAACCTGAAGATAAGATACCTTTAGATATGTCATTATAGTAACATTCGGAGACTTCTTTGAGTCACTTGAATACACATTGACCTTTGTTTGGAGAGTAGAACACTCCCGATCTAAAGCTTTATTGCAAGTTTAGTCTGCGACATATGGAGTACATGGGTGTGTGTGTGTGTGTAGATCAGATTGTTGATGACATATTTGACTGTTGTGCAGTATGTCAATCTCAGCGACAGGTTTCTCAAATGGCACAAAGTACCGGTGGTTTTGGGGCTCATTTACCTCGAGCTGAGACGAACGATTCATCAAAAGTACAATCTTATTGCCGTCGGCCCAGCGGACAAGGATCCTGGCGATGAAGGCTCATTCATCGGTCGAAACATCGACCAAACTCCACCCGTATCAGAAAGTCAAGTAAGATTGTCTTATATAGATGTATCACCTGTTTAGTCTTATCGAAATGATGCCAACTCGGAACTCAGCAGCTGTCCTCAAAAGTACACAAGAGTCGGACTCAATTGCGATCTGGAAGACGAATTGGAAAATTATCTGAAGAACTTATTACTTTCTCAATGTTAGCACACGATCTCTAGAACGTAAGTCTGAATGTGGTAAGAGATGTGTTCACTTGTATTTAACCAACAATCAGCTCACGATATGCGAAATGGCTTCCGATTGCCCATCAGTCAGTACGCCCCATTGTAGATTTCAAGACATAGAAGACGGACAATCTACCTCGGATATGCTGGCTGATATAGACCCAGATGTTGAAAAGTAAAAGATGTATGAAAGGAGCTGTTCACTAGTTAATCTAACTGGATCGATGTATGTGCAGCTTATGGAACCACACCCAGCCGTGGTTGCAACTAAGCTCCTCAACCGCAAGAATTTCGTTGGCACGGGAACTCAGTTCAACATGATAGCCACTTCGTGGATCAATTTCATGATTCATGACTGGATCGACCACCAGGAGGACGATTCACCGAGCAAGGTACAGTTCTCCCACAACCTCAGAGTGTTTCTCGGGCCAATGGAAGTCCAATAATGAGACGAAATTGCCCTTACATTCATTCGCGGCCAGAACCTATCGAAGAGTTGACCGCATCATAGTATGGAGGAAAGATCAACTGTTGCTAAATCAAGCGAGTACGCCATTTTCTCCATCACATTGTCAACGTGACGTCACAGTAACTTGGAACATTCCTGAAACTCACGATAAACTTGACGAGGTTATGCATATCCGGCCGGATCATAAAGATTTCATCCCGTGAGCAAGAATGGTATAGGCTGACTAGAATGAAGGAGTTCAGGATACTTCAAAACGGACAGGAAATGTAGATGGTGAACTTTGGAATTATCAACGCCATCTATCTTCGATGAGGTTTTCGCCGGATTGTCATATCATAATGGTGAAGGTGCAAATGCAGATGCAATCTGATCAGATTGAGCTGGAAACTATCGTGCAATTAAGGATGTCTCACGAAGGATGATGACCACCATGAATCACCTCTCTGTATATATACACATCTGCCACAGGCTGCCTGAACTCAGTCAACCATTGTGTCTCATTGCAGATTGCAGAATTGGTGGCGCCAAGCTCTGTTGCCGCGCAGTGTCCACTGAAGGCCTTCAAGTTTCACCCAGGGCATGAGGAGGACATTGGTTCCGGGAAAATTGGATTCCGCAACACACGATCCTCTTGGTGGTACGTATATCTAAGTCCCTTCAATGTAACCATGGCAGAATCTCATGCATGTCTTGACGATCACCTCCGCTTGACAATATATAAATATCTCTATGGTCTGGCATTGCCTAGTGACCGGAAAGGTTGTGGGAGGCAATTCAATGTTCGCTACCGAGCTTCGAAGTTTCAAGACAGCGTCGGATCTTATATCGAATATTCAAGCCTGCGATTCAATACGTTGCTGTTCGTTCCATTTCAGACAACCTTCGCTCTGAATTTGGTTGAGGTTGACCGCTCTGGTCTGGTGGTTCGTTGGCAGGGATGCGAGTATGATCTATGGAACCAGTGCCGAGGTCCAGCAGTCCCTGAGGACTGGGAAGGAAGGAAAATTGAAAATTTCAGACGATGGATCGGGACTTCTCCAGGCTGGGCACAACGACATCCCCCTCACCGGAGATCCTCGCAACCCATGGATGGGGGTCGCAGTTCTGCAGTCCTTGTTCATTGCCGAGCACAACCTTATCTGTGATACGATCAAGGTTTATAATCAGTCGCAACCTTTCTCCTTATGTCGAGAATCAGTCGGACCTCTCTTGTGAAAAATCTTTTCATTGGATTGACCGGATGCTGAATTCGAATTCCTGCGCATTAGATCTCGTGCTTTCAGGACCTTCTTCTTGAGATCTAGAGCCAGCATATATGATTCAACACAATTTGTTCTGTCATTCACTACCGATGGGGCCGATAAAATATACTTCAGCCAGTGAGTTGATTCTTGAGTGGTACTGTCGGACTTTCCTCGATACGATGTAGGCAGTATTAGACGCGGCACATTAGAAAGGTTGGCTTCCGAGTGAGTTCCTGCTTTGAGCTCTAGGGTCTTTTTGCTTGAGGTCTTTGAGGCTGGTTTGGGTTATCCAGATCTTTTATAGCTCTAACGATTCTGGTGTATTTAAGCAACTTTCTGGTGTAACTCGATTCTGTGGACCATGCACCGTGCAGGCAGCTCATCCCACTTTCGACGACGAGACGATCTACAAGCACGCCAAGGTTACGACTCAGACTGTCCTTGCTAAAATCCACACCATCGACTGGACCGTTCAGCTCCTGAAGATGAACACTCTGCTTGCTGGCATGCGAGCGAACTGGTACGGACTCCGGAAATTTAAATGATTGATGGCATAGATTGATCACCTTCCCTGAGCTCCACGTAAAGCGAAGTGCGTAGCTATCGAGATCCCCGCCTAGACTATTGCTAAATCATCGCATTATTTCACACAGATTTGTATAATTCAATTCCAATTTGTCCTAAAATCGCAATCGGCTGCTCAAGAATTTAGATCGTCCATTTCGATGCCCTGGAAACTCGGTGAAAACGCTGACGTTTGCTTTGTTTTTTTATCTTGCGTCAGGTACGGGCTGCTAGGAAAGTGGGTCAAGGACAACATCGGAAGCACAAACATCAGTCTTCTTAGTGGGATCGTTGGGCACTCGAAGACAGTGGACCATGGCGTGCCTTATTCTTTGACGGAGGAGTTCACTTCAGTATACAGGATGCACCCTCTTCTGCCCGAGAAAATCGAGATCAGGGATCTCCGAAAAGCGCCGAAAATTAAAAATGAGCCCGTGCTGATTGAAGAGTACGAATCTCTAACCATCTCCAAATCGCCGAAGCCAGATTTTGGTAATTTTCTTAGCACTAGTGCAGTTCAGATCTGCAGGTCACAGTCTTGATCTTAATGCGCTGTCGACTCTTGCGTGCAGAGTCCCACTCGGAGAAATGATCGGTACGGCGGGGATCAAGAAGGCCAGAGGATATGGAATCAAGACCCTGCTGATGTCTATGGGCAACCAGCCGTCTGGAGCTCTGACTCTATTCAACTATCCCACATGGATGAGGGACCTCGAAGTGACAGATGCAAGTGGAGTCCGTCGCACTGATCATGTAGACATGGCAGCTCTGGAAAGTAAGTGACAAACGCTTTTCATGCTGCGTTCTTAATACGCTCTGGATCGTGTGAGAGAATAGTTTCTTCCATATCAAACTGAAGGATGGAGGATTTCAAGACTGTCCTCTGTCATTGTTGCATTCATTTCGAGAGAATTCGGAGGTGCAAAGTTGAACGGCATACGGAATGCTATACATCTAGTTTGCAATGGCAATTGAGTTCCTGGAAATAAGATGTTCCGATGCTTCAGCTTTGATGATCCGGGCTTTGACTCCATGGTTCCTGGACCTAACACATCTAAATCTTCTCTATTTTGGCAGTCTACAGAGATCGTTCACGCCGAGTTTATCGTTACAACGAATTCCGCAAGAGACTGTTCATGCCCACGATCAAGAGTTGGAGCGACCTGACCGACGACCGTGAAACCATCGCAATCCTCACTGACGTTTACGGAAACGATGTGGAGAAGTGTGACGTTCTCGTCGGACTGCTAGCAGAAAAGAAGATCAAAGGATACGCGATTAGCGAGACGGCTTTCTACATTTTCCTCCTGATGGCAACAAGGTACGTTTGACTTCCATGTACAAACCTGCAAGACGCTCACGAGCATTTCAAATTTGAATTCACAATCAGGATCAGCCCATTGATGCACGCCCAGTATCAGTGTAAGTACAACAGCCAAATCAATGCAGCTCATCGCGTTTGCATCTGAAGCTAACAGCATTTTCTTCCATGTTCGTTGAGGTGAAGCGAAAAACTTTGGATAGATTGTCAGGTAATAGCTCTCGGAAGTTTTATATTCAGAATAGGAAATTCTCAACAGCTCTCAACCGGCGGCTCCTTGTAGCTCAATTGGTGTTGGTTCATATATTTGCATTATTTTGCAACCTACTGATGTCGAACAATGCGATTGCAGGAGGCTGGAGGCTACTCCCCTCTTCACCACCAACTTCAACGAGGCAACATTCACAAAAGAGGGACTGCACTGGGTCAATACAACCGAGGGTCTCAAGGATGTACTTCTTCGCCATCACCCTGAAGTTGTAAAATCCTGGATGCCAGCAAGCTCGGCCTTCAGCATTTGGAGCGTTCCTGCCGATAGTTTCAACCCCATCCCAACTCTAATTCGCTTTCCCTAGGCAGTCATCGAATTCGGCGATTCCTCCTGTAGATACGTGTACTTACTAGCTCCTTGACGTGTTATCTTCCATATCTCAGAGATCCAAAGTCTGGCCAAAATTCCCATCACTCGACTGGGCAAAGCTTTTGTAGTTGTAGGTTACATTTGTAAACGCGTTGTTGGTAAGAAAATAGTTCAGTTGTAGTTATCAGCAAATACTGTTCAAAGCAGTAACAATACGGTTTCCCCATCGAGCAGTCGCCAGCACGTGACTTGTTCATTCCTGTGACACATATTTTGAGTATAATCAATAAAAATCACCTTCTGAATACTTCTTGCTTTCAAAATGAACGAGAGCAATGTCCAGTTGAGAATCATGACCTAGACTCCTTCTCACATATGATTACCATCTCTTCAAATGTGAATTAATTTAGTCCCTTGATTCCCTTGCTGATTACGTCTTCTGACATCTTTATTTTCGTGGTCCACGCTTCACAAACGGGTCTCGGCTAAGGAGGACAATCTGTGTTGACCCTATTCACACAATGTCAAGTCAGATCTGACCAGTGAACACAGTGTGTCCCCATTTGAATTGCGTGCTGATATGCATGTTAGTTTTCCATGTGATCAAGCTGATTTCAGATCTTTCTTTCTTGAAAGGTCAATTACCATATACACTTTCAAGTATACCACATCGCTACTATCCTCTCAGCCACTACTGCAGTACGTTAGTTATTCCATGGAAGAAATCGAAGAGTAGGAATTGGGGATCATATATCTTTCTCCTGCTTTATGTGTTCCGCATTAATTGCCAAGTCTAAGAGAAGCTTGTTAACACACATAGGAAATTATACCAGATTTTTCCATACTCGAGATCAGTTTAATCAAGAATAGCAAACTCATTCATTTAAATTTTGTTAGTGCAATAATACGTGATTTTTAGTGTAGAGCTGTTCAGTTCTTAGTGACATTCTTGCGTATGCAGTGTGAAATGCTCATTGTTCGTGATGTCATATGAAATAGGTTGTAACTTTATATTAACTTGGTGACGTGATAGAAGACTCCCTTATGAACATTTTGAGTGCTCATTTGCTAAGTTATGAAACATGTAAAAAATTTGCTCTTAGTCTCTTGATTCGTAGGTTGTAACTATGAAAGATGTTGGATTTGTGTTGAGTTCAGTGAGCCATCATTCTTGTTTTCTCTCCATGTAGTAATGAGTTGTCAAGAAGTCGAACGAGAAGCTCAAGTGAACTTTCTAGCTAATCCCTTAAAGCTACGTGTCCACTTGATCAATAAATTGTTGTCTTACTACCGACGCCTCATCTCCAGATTTAACAACTTCTATCCGTTGTATCAAGAGTTTAAAGGGTACAGCGATTATTAAAGATGAAGAATACCCCAAAATGCTAATTCAGGGCAGACCCATCCTGGAGTATTCGATCGAAGAGAAATATAGTTCATAATGTCCCAGTAAGGGAATTACAGACTTTTGCATCTTTACATGGCTCTAGTTTCAGGTGTAGAACGTTGACATTGATGTACATTGACATAGAAGTTGTTAAATCAATACTTGTTCGATATTTCAATTTAGCTTACAAGAATAAATGAAGTAATTTATCTTTGTTTTAAAACTTATTTTATGAATGTATCAACTCATTTGGACGTAATTTTCGGAAATCTAGTCTCGCCCGAGATTTCGCAGATATTTCTGCAATCTGGTCGACAGTTGACACATGAATCAATTCAATCCAACTTGTTTTATTTTAACAAGCTTCTTTGGTGATTTGCTCGGGCTTGGAAAATTTGAATAATCCGAAACCTTTCACTGCTGTGATTTTTGCAGTACTAAATTAAGAGTATTTTGATATCCATGAGATTAAAGATGTTGCAATCAACGAGTTTCTATTGCGTCTATACACAGCTCTCTATACTCCACCTAACGGTAGCAAAACAATGGGACATACCATTAGCCCCCAGAAAGAAGAAACAAGAAACGTAAAGCTAGATCCCGACGGTATCACCATAGGAAAGATGACCAACATAACCCAAGATATAAGAACTATGAGTTTCAACCGGTCTACATCTAACATAGATTATGACCTCTTCTAGCGTATGGCATTTTAAAATATAGATATCAGTGGAGTAATTAATATACATATATATATATATATATATATAAAATAAATGTTTATACTGAATATTACAATAGAATGCAAATCTTCGTGAATGGTGATTTCAAGTCAGATAGTGAAACACAAGACAAGAAAGAACTTGCTATGGATAATTACAAGGAAATTCATTATCTGCTTCAAATTGAGCGATATACTCACATGGACCCATTATTATCGTACATATGCTAGCTTAGGTATAAAAACATGCACTTTCTTCTCAATCAGCGAAATTGTGAGATCTCACTCACTCAAACAAGAGAACAAACTGTATACCGCTTTGAGCATGAGAAGCTAGTATGTACCGTAAAAGTGGCTACCTCCACACGAGGCAGTCGAAGGAGCAATATAATTGGAAGTAGGTGTAGAATTTTATCATGCTCTCTGGCGCAGTCGGTGGCAATAGTATATAACGGGATGGCTTTTCATAGGACTCCCTCATTTTTCTTCAACTCCGTTGAGGATGCTCGTATAAGTCTGCCGTGATTTGGCCACGAAACCTGGATTGTTGAGTTTGATGTGAGTTCCCAGCTTCTTCATTAGTTCAAGCCTCATGGTTTCTTCTTCTTCAGCGTGCAGGACAAACGCATGCGAGTTCGATCTACTGCAGAAGTGGTTCTTAATCAAGCATTGAAACCTGGAGGATGAAATCCTCGCCATTGTCGGCACGGTCTGAGTCTTCCGGCTCATGCCATGCCACACATCGTCATCACGATGCTTTCGCGAAACTCAGCCGTGACATTGGCAATATAAAGGGTGGTGGCTAAGGTATGGAAGTGATGAGCTAATTCTTCTTTATTACAACTTGTCACAAAAAGGTTTGCCTCATTGCGTTCATTTCCATTGTCTTTTGAAGCAAATCAATTTCCTCCCAGCCCTGCCTGCCTTCAGCAATGTCCACACGTTTTGCAAGGTACCCAAAGATGGAAGAGAGCTGGATTGCTCCAGAGATTAATGGCCATCGCGTACAAACCAAACGAGAAGCGGTAGCACTCTTCAAGAGATGAGGGCAGCGATCGGTGCTTCTACGAACTTACCGATGGCCTGCAGGAAAACTTCCATGCTTCCATTTGACGTCCCTCTGCAGTTCTCTTCCGAGTCTAGCAGATGCAAGGTACGGAAAAGGTTTTTAAAGGCACGTTTTGTCCCGTGTACGGGAGCCGGATTTGTACACCTTTCGTCGTGCGGAACCTGTTTTGTGAAGAAAATCTAGTTCATGGGAAAGCGTGAACAATAATAACCCGCTCGATAGATTTGTTTGTGAACATCCGAGCTTCCGAACTTCCGAGAGAGAGATGCTGAGAGTACGAACTTCGTACTTCCCACTGCCGCGTGACACAAGAACAGTCTGGAGTCGTTACGTTGTCATCATGAGTCTCTATTTTCTGATTCCTCAAGGCCTCGTTGCTGCATGACGGGGTTCGTTGAGACATGTGCAAGAATTGAGAATCGCGGAAGAAAAGATTCCACGACGGTGAAAACTGTGATTTTAACATTCGGACGTGAGCTTGTTGATCCTTGAGTTGCAGGCACGCGCGCACGCAGGGAGGCAGGGCAGGCGAGCGGCAGCGAGGAAGGAAGGTGGTCGGCACGCCAGCGCTGAAATATGGCCCATGGACGTGCAGCCAGAGTGGTTTCTAAAGTAGCGCATCATGGAGCGAAGCAAGTCAAGACCAATGTTCCCATGGAATGTGTTATTGGAATCTGCCTCGGCCTTTTGATTTCGACGAGCGCTTGGAAGATGAACACCGTCAATTATCAAAGAAAAGTCGTCAATTTTTATAACATGTACGACAAGGGAGAAATAAGCATCGAAGGTGAAGATTGAATTTGTGAGGAAGACTGCGTTTTGTTGACAGCATCAATGTGCCAGAGCTCGGGGCTTCTTGTTTCAGAGCCTAAACTGGCTATGCCCCTTGTGTACATTGCCAAGATTCACTCCCGACCATCGTTGGGGCTTTGCGAAATTGAACGCTCGAACTCATACTCAAGTCTATATATGATGGAAGTCAGCCAAGCATCAAATAGGAACTGGAAATTTAGGTTCACAATCGGTTGACTGGCTCTTGTAATGAAAATTGCAACAGTTTCTTTGGACTTATTTATGGCTTATTTCGCCAATGCTTGCAGGAGTGTGACACGTGATTGCATGTGCCAGTTGTAGTGACTAGCCTTCGTTTGATTACATCGCTCTGCATGGAGAATTTACGTAGGAACGTGATTTTCCCAGAAAGATTTGAGTATGGTGTTGGGCTGTGGATGAGATAATTGACTTCTTCATCAAAGATATGCATTGGTTCGTGTAACTGACCGGCCCGATGATTTGAAGTTGCAGCGACACGAATACTGTTGGCAATTTCTTGAAAGAATGAGTTCTTTTTGTCGTGGCGAAGTGACTACTGACACGCGGATGTGTTTTAGATTCGCAAAGAACAGAGTAAGAGACAAAACAAAGCTTTCCACACCTAATAACGCGTCGGTCTGCTTCCTTCGAGAGAGAGGGATGCTATCGTCCAAACCACTGACATCAATGACAGAAACCGTTGCTTTCTTTGAGTCTCCGAAGTGTCAGATTCAGCCACTCGTAACCGAACATCCGAGCGGAGAAAGAAGGACGGGCGATTCGGATTCTACTCAGGAAAATAGATTCCAAGAAGAGTGTCGGCACACGAAGCACCTTCTTCGTCTCATCTTTGAGAGTGTGTAGGGCGAATGAAGGTTTCTTGTAGAGGCTGGTACACTACGCTGCTGCCGCAGCTGCCATATACGTTCTTAAAGTCGATCGAGAGAAGTCGCCCAGTCGTAGTACGGGCTTGGGGATCTTGGAGCCCCGAGCACAGGGTGTGGAAGAGCTCGGAGTAGGAACGAAAGCTAGGTTTTAGATGCAAGTCTTTGAGTGGAAGTTTGATGGTCATTGAGAGGTGAACTGGCAGGCACACCAACTGCCAGAGCAGAAAAGAATCTGATTTTTGAATGTGCTTGATAAATTTAGAGGCAGACGGATGCTTCTCAGAGGTAGAGGGTGGGAGAGAGAGGGAGGGAGGGATTTCCCCCAAGGTGGACATCTACGAGGAGCTTCCGGAGGACGAGCGGCAGCGGATGACCAAGAAGTCGAGACGGGAGAGGGCATAGGATCGCGCGAGCGAGAGATCGACTAGAGACAGAGAGATTCGAAGGCTCCGGGTGGGCCAGGGCTGCTGCGCGATTCGCTCCTTCTGATGTGGGTGCCCAGGTAAGGAAACTTCCCCACCTCGCATTACGGAGCTTGACAGGGAAGCTGCTGTGTTTTTCCGCCGGTGAATTCTGACGACTAAGGACGATTGAATTTTCTCGGAACTCCTCCATGCTAAATTCTGCAATTTCGTGTGCGATTATCATGGTCAATTCAGCGACAGAATGCCATCGTATGATCTTATTATTGTACATCGTTTTTGTTCTTGAATTGTGAGCTAAAATCGACGCCCTAAAGTTGAGGTAAGAATCTCTTCGCGAGGTCTTTATCTGCGAGTCAAATTGGCGTGATGAATACTCTTCGTGCACGAGTCGTCCCAGGAGCTAAGATGGTTTTCGCAAATTCCGTGACAAGTGCCGGGATTTTATCAACTGTTGATTTCCTTTTCCTGTTGTAGTGCCGATTTTCCCCTATACGGTAGGTGAAACTTCATTCATGGAGCGGCTTGACAATCCATTCAAAGCTCTGAGCCTTCTGGAAGAGGATGAGGATCTGAGCTCTGCGTTGAATCAAAGAAGGAAAAAATCAGTCAAAACAACAGTAGATAAACTTTTCCAGGACAGCCGGAGCAAGCGCAACGGAAATGATGCACCACATTTGTACAAGCCCCTTGTTTGGATTGATCTGGAAATGACGGGTTAGTAATCACTCTCAAATTATGGCCAGGATTCGTAATTGCAATTTCGAATTTCGTCTACTTAGAAGTGTTGTCTAGAAACTCTATCTTCCTCACCCAGCAAACTTAACTGAATAATTGGGGTTGACAACAATCTCTCTACATACTCTGTTCGCGCGAGGAATAAGATTTGGCTTATATCAAATTCGCCGGACTCTGTGCAGGGCTTGATTTGGAAAGGGATCGGATACTGGAGATTGCTTGCATCATCACCGATGGGAAACTCGAGACAATTATCGAGGTTGTACTTGATTATTATTATTATTTCTGTGAGTTTTCTACTTCAAATTCAAACTAGTTATACTCCTGGTTTTGTGCTTACTTTTTTACGAACCTGCAGGGACCCGACCTCATCATTCACCAAACTGAAAAAGCTCTTGTAGAGATGAACGAGTGGTGTCAAGAGCACCATACTGCTAGTGGTAAGTCATCTCTAATGTTCTTCATGAACCTTTTCCGTTGTTGGACTAAGTTCGAGTTTTTCTTGAACAATGATACTTTTTCAGCAGTTATGGCACATCAGTGTCCTGAAAAAGAAATCAAAATGCGTGGAATGTTGCTTAATAAAATTGCATGAGCTCTATCAAATTGTAGGGGATTCAGCATGAACTGTTCTGTTTTCTGTAGCAGGGTGTGACCGAACGATACGAAATCTTGATTGATTCTGATGCATGTGAATGTCAAATATGCCTTGATGAAATGAACGTCGTTTCAACAACTATCCTGAAACTGTATCGACTTCAAATGTGGAAGTGAGACTACCTTGTTCGGCGTGAATTAGAACATAACTTAGTAAAAGCTCATGTGGAATCTATGGTGCATATCCCCCTTTGGACACAGGTTTCTTGTCAAGGATAGCTCATTCTTATTTTATCTAATAAGGAAGCCTTCTTCTGTCACAGGTTTGGTGGAAGGCGTCCGCAAAAGTACCATAACAGAGCAGAAAGCAGAGGAGCAGGTTTAAACAACTATCATTTTACATTCAGGCCAATGAACTCACTGATTTAGGTCGTCATTACGGTGCTGATTCTCCACCTAGTCATCAAGTTGTAATATATTATTGATGTCCACTGTCCTATGTGGCCAGGTCCTGGACTTCGTGAATCAACATGTCTCACCTGGCAAAGCTTACATTGCTGGCAATTCGGTGTACGTTGATCTGCAATTCATAAGAGTGAGGAAACGCACTGACTACTATCTTTTGTGACTTCGTGTGGAACTGCATTCCCGTCCCGTGGACTTGGTTTCTGCTCTGACCTTTTTTGGGCCGATGATGCTGTCAGAAATATATGCCGAAGCTAGCCGGAATTTTTTCCCACATAGTGGTCGATGTGAGCAGCGTTCGTGCTCTTTGCGTGAGGTGGTATCCACAAGGTCTGTATTTTGTCCCTCTCTTATCTTGCGACACATTTCTGATTTCAACATATACAAGAGGGCTCATATCAGTTAAATAGTCCTCTTCTGCAGCACGAGGCTTTCTTTCTTATAGAGAAAGATGTCAGATAAAAGACAACCTGTTGAATGTTGAATTGAGCCCAAAAACGAAATTTTCTTCTCATTCTCCTTTTGGTTATTGATAGCTTACTCATCCTGCTTCTGTAAATTAGACACTACTAATTTCAAACGAGCAAATGCTCCCGTCTGCTTTAGTGTCTTCCCCTCTTCCTTCTGCCCAAGAGTCCGTGCAAAGTTATGAGGCTTAGTCTGGAGGTGAGGAGATATTTCACCAGGATTTTCGTAAACCTATAGATTCTTCAAGGCCATGAAAACTGAAGGTTGTGATTCCGGGGGTAGTAGTAGCAGTTAAGTAATTTCTTGAACTCCGATTTTATTGATAAGTTGTGAGAGTGCTTGTATCTCGCATGTCACTACCATTTAGTGAGAAATCACTAATAAAAACAAAGCCGTTAACTTTCAAACCATGATATGCCGGATCCATCTGCTGGTTGGACCAACCTGGCCGATAATACAGAGCGCAGTATTAGTGTCTTGCATCCTGCATGGATTTTGACAGTAACCTTTCTCAGTCAATTCCCTCCATTCTTTACTCGTTAGTCTATTCACCTTCTTGTACAATGGGGCGTTTCTTTCCAAGTTTGCAGTACAAAGTCTGCCACCAAGTTTTATATGAATCAGACTCTTAACAAACTGTATGATGATGAGTAATGGCTTTCAACGGTACAGAATTTTACCTTTTCTTGAGTATCCATCTTTGGTCTCCTGTAGTTTTTCCATGCTTTTCGTTTGCCTCAAGGGGACCAGGACGTCCGATTTCTTACCAGCGAAAGCTACCCACGCTATTGATGCAGATGCTGAAAGGGCTCCCGAGAAGAAGAAGAACCATCGTGCTCTTGATGACATAAAAGAAAGCATAGCAGAGCTCAAGTATATGAAGGCAGCTATTTTCAAGAAGCCCCAAAAATGTTGATTTTGAGAAACTTAATAAGAACTTTGAAGTGCGAATTTCTATTTTCATTATCTGCACGTTTATGTCACGGGTAATTCCTCTGGTCCTAAATACCCGTGCAGGCACGTTCTATGACACTGGGCTCATTTCCCTAGACCCAACAGTTGAGGTGGCGTAGAAGTATGACCTTATTCTGATAGTATCTGATTTTGAACGCAGCTCGAAGTTCCGTTGCACTGTACGTAATCTCTTATAGAATTCTATGTCATAAACTGCTAAATTGGATTGAAAGTCAAGGTTTACCTCGAAACTTGCACTCTATACAATAGTGTTATGCTTACTCGACGAACCGAGGAAGAACAAAAAGAAGCTCTAAGTTAAAAAGACTTGTGGACTTACAATTTGGATAACTCCAGAAATCAACCTGTTTACAGAATTGTCCATATCCTGCGTCTCACCGAGTAATATGTAGCAAAAACTGATAGGAACGCCCCATCAAGTCTTTTGAATTGGGGGGGAAACCAAACGGAGGACATGGAAGTCGGATCAACAAGTCTACAGATTTACAAATATGAAGCTCATTCTCCAGAAGATGAAGCCACACGAAGATGTTCCGAAGGCGATTGAAGAACTGCCAGGACTGGACTCCCTCCCCTTCTCATGGGACGTTCCTTTAAAACCTGAGAATTTTTTGTAAATTCGTCCCTCCTCAATATACAATTCGGTTCGGAAAATTTTTGTGGCCCTACGTAACCGTTGCGTTAATACACCTTGAAGGCGGGACTCTGCATTCCTCAACTGGTGAAGCGGAGGTTTTCCTTAACTTGGATCAACGTTTGCATGAATCAGAACGAGGTTGAGGATACGTACCAACGACGTGTACGGAAAATATTGTGAGAGCCACGGTAAAAAGTGACGTGTACATACTGCTCCATTGAATACACACACGAAGTAAGATGTAGAAAGGTTTCTGCTTCAACCTTTATCCGAACACGTTGAACCCGTCTTCGGATATACATCCCCAAGTGGAGCTCCGCGAATGTCTATTAGAAAGTCCTTGTAACAGGAAACGTTGATGGAACATAATGGATAGAGGTCAAGAACTTAAGTCCTCAGTGGAAGGAGTGGACTGTACGTTATGGAGCAAGCTAATACTGTACTGGGTAACTTGATGAACACGGAATGAAAACGCGCACTGTCATGGAGTTGAGTTCTGCACTGATCGGAGTAATCCATCTGATCATAAAAACCAAGGCAGTTCTTGCCCCAATCTGTCAGCTCTTTCTCGTCTGCCTTGGTATCCTTCGTCTCTGTCTGACATTTCTGTTCACGTAAGCGCCCGATCAAGGCTACTGAGTGTCTCGAAGGTGGTCTTGTAAATTAGGAAGCTCTGGGAGACAGTGAAGGAATTGTTCCTGAGAAGATTTAAGGGGAAGAGCAGACAGCCCAGTGATTTCATTGACTCCCGAAGCGACGATGGCGGACGTGCAAGTCGACCGAAACGTCGTGGAGCGAAGTTTTTTCGCTCCGCCACGAAAAAACATCAAAACCACGACGCAGAGTCGGCACATGTTCAGCAGGAATTTTGTCGAGCGGCGCGACTTGGAGCAGTACTTCTGGACTACGAGCACGGTGGACGCTCTGTGCAGAGCGCTGACATTCGAGCCGGAGCTCTGCTGCCTCTCGACCCCATCGATCGCTCAGGCATTTTGGATTCAGGAAGACAGAGCCGTGACCCTGCTGGACATCGACACCCGATTCGACTACCTTCCGGGATTCCGCTTTTGGGACCTCCGCCACATCCCGTCCCTGCCCATGGGCGAGGCCGAAACGTTCCGAGTCCTCGTGTTTGACCCTCCCTTCTTCTACATCCCCATGGCAGATCTGTATCGCGCAGTCCTCGAGGTGTGCAAGGGGGACACCTCAACGGGCCTTATGATCGGATTCCTAGTTCGCAAGGAAGCGAACCTGTTCGCGCACTTCCGGGAATTCAGACTCTCGAAAACCAAATTCGTGCTTGAGTACGCCAACGTCAAACCCAACAAGTGGCGCAACTACGCTCTGTACAGCAACGTGGATCTCCCGGGAATCAAACGCATCAGGAAACCTCGCTGACCTCCTCTGCTGGGCCGACTCTATCAAGCATTGATTCCATGGACCAGATGTATATACTTTTGACTCGCTAGAATACGTATGCCACCATAATGCTTTGGTTTAGATTCTCAACTTTAGAACCTGTAAATTGGCCCGGACCGAAGTCCAAGCCGAAGTCCTCAGAAGGCTCAAAATTGTTCGAATTCATAAAGCTTCACTTCATACTTTTGTAACATATTTCTTTACTTTCTGATTTGACCTCGTTCATCAGGAAGAGGTCAAATCAAATTCACATAAGAAATAATGGAAGCCATACATGAGATTTTGTTGTAACAGTTATTTGTGATAGAAATTGATTCTATATGCCAATTATTTTCACATATATACTATAAAATTCCAGCAACAAAAGGTGAATTTTTTGATACTATTGTTTCTTTAAGCACTCCCTAAAACCTGATTGATACCTCATAATCGATATTTTGCTTTATTTTAGACAACATTGAGATGTACTTGAATGTTATGATGATTTTAAGCGACAAGATTATTTGATCATTTTTTTTTCTAAAAAAGAATATGGTTTTGAAATTCAAGAACATATAGAAATTCAGCAATGAGATTCTTTTCAAATTAGGGTTAGGAAGATAATTTAAATGACATCTAGATATTTTCATGATACAACTCAAGTATCCAAACTTCTTTCATATTAAAAAAAAAAAATATAAAGCTTGTGAGTAATTGGAATAATTCTCTTTTTTGGATGATCAATTTAACTCTTTCATTGAAATATCTGATTATTGATAACAAAGACAAGCTAGAATGTTATTTAGATTCGAAATTGTGATTTTTTATCTTACATTCAGTTAGATTTATTTATAATAATTTTAATTATACCTCCTATTAACTTTTTACAAATTTTGATGTTCATCCTAGTTGGTCTAGTATTAATCACATTATTACACATACTTGCCCGAAAGTTATCAATCTATTTAAAAAAAATTCAAAATGAAAGCTTCATAAATGAATCAAAAGTTCATAACAAAATGATATTTTAGATTTTCTTCTCATTCCGTATAACTAGTTTGTAGTACTTAGCTCGGATCTTCCAGTTACTCATATTACTTTAATCCTTGTTATGTATAAGGTTAAACCTCCATTATAAAAAAATACAAATAAAAAATCTCTCATTAATACAATTTAGGGTCTTTTCAATGAAAGACTTGGTTTTTTTCCGCTCTCCATAATGTCAAACCATGAATTACAGCAAAGGAGTGTTTGTTTGTGAATTTTTTTCCTAAAATAATTATGCAAAATCATAAAAAAAGGCATTATTATAACTAAAGTCCAGATAAATAATTCATGACATGTAAATTCCTAAGAGTTTTTTCTCAATCTCAAATCTTTGAAAGAAGGATCAATATTTTTATGATAAAAAGGATTTTAAAAAATCATATACTTTTATTTTTGTAAATTTTATAAGAACTTGAATAAAAATTTTTGAATTATTTCTTGCATTTTGAGAAACCAATTTTCTTTTATTAAATTCTTAAAAACTGTATTTCATTTTATTTTTTGTACCTGATATAAATTTTTGTAGTGAAATTTTATTTTAGTTTTTAAATGAGTTGAATTTTATATTTTTAGAGAAATTAACTTTATTTTATTTTACTGAAATTAATTATTTTTATTTTTATTTTCTTAATTTATTTGATATAAATAATGTCAAGAAATTAAATTTTTTTCATTTTGTTCTTAAAAATAATTTTTTATTTTTTATTTCAATAAATTCTTTCAATGTTTATGTTTTTAGTTCACTAAAATTTATTTCTTTTCAGTACTTTATTTAATTTATTTTATTTTTCTTAAATTAATTTCCTTTCACTTTTAAAAAAAGAAAATTTTATTTCTTAAATTTAATAAATTAATTTAATTTAAGATTTTATTTTGAGTAATTAAAATCATTTAATTTTTTAATTTTTTATTAATTTTACTTAATTTTAATTTTGAGTATTTTTCAGAATATATTTAATTATTTTTTAGCAATCAACTTAATTTGGTTTCAATTCAAAAGTTAAAATTTATTTTATCTTTAATTTTAGTAATTATATACTTTTCTAGAGAAAATATTTTTATTTTATTTTTTCTAATATTTTTCAAGTTTATTATCTCAGAGTATATCAAGTTTTTTATTTTTCATTTCTTTATGCATTTTATTTTATTTCAGTTAGGTAATTAATTTTCATTTTTTTATGTAAGTTTCAATTTTTTATATTATATTTTAGAAAAAAATATTCCATTTGGCTTTTATAATTCACTTTATTTTACTTATGTTAAGTAATTAGTTTCTTGATTTTATTAAAAGCAATGAAAATTTGTTTAAAATATTACTTGATGTAATTGTTATTTATTTTATCTTTTAAGGGATTCATTTTTTTGTTTTGTTTTTAGTTATGATAAAGATTTATTCATTTATTTTAATTAATGATCTCTTATTCAAAATTAAGTGAATATTGAGGTTAACTCTGGTTAAGGAGTAACCTCAGGTTCTATCTATTTATAACTAGTTGTGTCGTTGGCTTTGGGTATAAATATACCCCCAAGGCCAAGGTTTCGACTAGAAGCAGTATTGTGTATTCACTTGTCAGTAAACATTCTTGTGTGTTTCAGCCGTGTACATAGTTCTTAAGGGTGAACCACGTTATATGAGTGTTTGGTGTGATTCTCATGTGATTCTTACTTGGTTTTAGGTTTTATGTCAAGAAATGATTTAGAGCCTTGTTTCAATTCGGAATGTGTGTTGTAAGGTTGTGTCTCTAGAGTCGAGATTGACTGATAGAGTTTTTTGTCTCTGACAGTTTTTTGTCAGTGACGGTTTTTTCTGTTATGCAGGTTTAGGGTTTGTAGTTAAGTTGAAAATTTAAGTTTTCTCCGATAGATTTCTGTTAGCGATGGGTTTCTGGCAGAAGTGACGAAGTTTGTAACAAAAGTCACAATTTTTGGCAGCTATTTTGCTTCAAAAGATTGTGCCTTTATACTCAGTTCATGACAGAAGTTTAAAAGTTTTATTATTCCAAAATAAACTTTGCTAACAAACTGACAGTTTTGACAAAGATTGTATTTTTACAGTTTCTGCAGTTTTTATTTCACTTTGAAGTTCGAGACTGTTTTGTCAAGTCTTGCAGAAGTTCAAAGTTTGAAATCTTGGCAGCAGACAGAAGTTTGAAGTCCTTGGCTAAGCTTTCTCTTGCGCAGTAGTGCCCAAACTCTTGCAGAAGTTCAAAGTTCTAGAGCAGACAGAGAAGTTCGAAGTTCGAGAGCTCTTGCAAAAGTTTGAAGTTCAAGAGTAGACACAAGTTCAAAGTACTTGGCTTGCACAACTTTCTCTGGCGCAGTAGTGTCCGAGCTCTTGCAAAAGTTCGAAGTTCGAGACCTCGCAACAGACAGAAGTTCAGAAGTTCGAAGTGCAGTAGTGCCCGAGACAGAGAAGTTCGAAGTTCAAAACGCAGCAGATAGAGAAGTTCGAGACCTCGCAGAAGGTCAGTTCAGAAGTTTGAAGTCTGCTTCGAAGATGCAGGTGGAGGCTGCTTGCTTCGTCTTATCCGTCCATCTTCACAACACGTCAAAGGGAAATCTGCTGTAAATATTCTCGAGATGTTGTATCTGATTTGTCAAGTGGGAGAGGCGAACTTAACTGAGTTGCTATGAACTCTTAGAAGATCGAGCCAGAAGGTAGTGCGCTCAGATCCTTTTAGGGTAGCGGTATAGCAGGGGATATGGTTATAGTGGCGAGGAAGCGACCGTCACCCCGCACAGTTAGGGTTCAGATTAGGGCAGCGACGGCCGTCACACCTGCGCAGCAATTCACGTCGCGGGCAGGGCCCGAGCGGAGGGCAACCACCTGTGTGGACCTAAGCGAGAGCATGCCCAAGGGGAGCCTCAAACCCACAACCTTCAGCTTGTGAAAGCGAAGCTCTAACCAACTGAGCTACAGCTGTGGACGTGCCTCACAGATCTCCTAACTCATAAGACTCGCGAGGCAAAAGGAAGTGGACCGTGCGGAGTTCCCTTCGAAGTCGTAGTTGGAACGTGGTCCGCATCCAGTTGAACGTGGTACACGGTTAGGGTTTTGCACAGTCGCAGTTGTACGTGGTCAGAATGAGCACAACGCGGTTTGGGGCGTACGTGGTTGTGGTCGAAGGAGATCGTTGTGAACGTGGTCAGTTGTGGTCAAAGTTGAGCCGAATGTGATTACGGTCGAGGTTGTGATCGAAGAAGACCTTCTCTTCCTTCCTACCCCCAGGCAGGGTCGGAGCCGTGCATTCCCAAGCGGCAAGGTCGAAGCGGCTCTCATCTCTCTTCCCGAGCTACGAGACTAACCACACCGCGGAGAAGGTGAAGGTGGAACGATATCTGCAAACGACGTGATCAGTGAACGCAGTCAAAGAAAGACGTGGTACGAGTTCACATGGTCGTGGTTACGGTCAACGTGCTTTGTAGATGTGATCGATGCATACGTGGTTAAATAACTAGCACTCGTTGTAAGTAAAAAACATTGTTAACGGTGGTACTAACGGTGGTAGTATTCACAGCGACGGTGGTCACGGGCGACAGTAGTCGCGGGTGACGGATCTTTTCAGTTGTAGTTGATGGCGGTCACAGACGACAAGAGTCGTGGGTGACGAACGTAAACTTGCTAGTGACGGTTGTCACTGACAATGGTGATCACGGATGATCACACTGTATCGAGGGCAACAGTGGTCGCCAAAGAAATTCACGTACAGACGGGCAGTGCCAGCCATACCATACCTCAAGATTCTAATCATCAAAAGATTATGTCCTGTTTGAAGAATATTCCGTTTGTGCATATTTTGTTCTAGCCACTCTTTGCCGGCATATAGGCAAATTGAGTTTCGTTGGAAAGCTCTTGACACGACAACTGCATCTCGACCATTTTGAGGAGTTTTGACTGTTGACCATTTTAATGACTAGTTGACCATTTTAATGAGTTATGCTCTCTGTAGTTCACCAACAGTTGTTGGTGATATATGGATTTTGGATAGTGCTTATTCTTATCACATTTGTTACATTAGAGAGTTCTTATGTACTTTCCCAAGATCAAACGGATCCGTTCTTATGGGGAATGACCAACCTTGTAAGATTGAGGGTGTTGGATCTGTAAAAATCCGCATGTTTGATGGTGTCAATCAAACACTCACACACGTTAGGTTTATACCTAATATGAGAAAGAACTTGATCTACCTTGGAGTGTTAGACTCACGCGGCTTGGAGTGAAGCTCTATGCATGGAGTGTTAGATGTCAAATCCAGTGATAAGAAGGTTATACTTAAGGGATATAAGCACAATAATTTGTACTTATTAAAGGGCACCACAATTTGTAGAGAAGTCAACTGTACCGGATCTCGCGGAGAGATGTTTCATTTATGGCATTCTAGACTAGGCCATATGAGTGATAGGTACTTGTCTCTTCTTGATGAGAA